TTTTTGTTTTTTTTTTTTTTTTTTAGGGGAGTAGTTGGCTTTCTGTTTGCTCGTTAACGTGGTATTAATCCCTTCTGTGTCTTTCCAAGTTGTATTTGACAGGAGCAGTCTACAGTTTGGATGGATCTGATAGCCTGAAGGAGACTATGCAGACCAGTGTTAATTATCCCCAGCAGGTATGTGAACCGCAGCGGGTTCAAAATCCAAACCCGAAGCTGAATGACAAAACCGGACCTTTTGAAATCCATCTATGAGTTTTGGTCTGGTTCCTTGGAAACTGTAATAGCGCGCTGTTCTCGAGGCTCCTCAGACCGCAGATTTTACCCCGTTTTTACGGGTGGCTTACGCTATTCCTTGCCTGCTCCTTCCCACTGCCTTATGTCAAGGTGTTTATATTTGCAGAACGAAGATGGACCGAACGATGACGTGCAGCACGTTGGCATAACGGCCAAGAACGTCTCCGGTCAAGCCCAGGAAGCTGCAGAGAACCTTGGTGTTGAACTAGCTAGTTTGCTTCTGAGCAAGGGAGCTAAGCATATCCTTAGCGTGGCAAGGCAGCTCAACGATGCCCGCTGAACCTGTGGTGCGGTCGGCACGATTGCTACAACTTGAGCAAGTCTTTGCAGCTCCTGTCGTCCTCCTTTGGAGGAAGGGATTTATTTAAGCGTTCACACCGGTCTTACCTGATGTTTGGGCCCAAAAACTTGAAATATGAAGTTGACTAACTTGAGTAGTTTATGCCGTTCAGGGTTTTCATCCCTCTCTGCATTTCTCTAAATCGCAAAGCGTCTCTGAAGTTTTTTAACCATTTTTGTAGCTAGGAAGTTAAAAATGTAAAAAACCAAAAATCTGTAAGCGGTCTCCTATTCCATTTAGGAGAAAGGCTCTCGCTACAGATCATAATCAAGAGACTCGAGTGTGACAGTACTAAAGCCCTGTACTGTGCTGACAGTACTAAAGTACTTTTGGTAGCCATTAATATTATTTAGGTTTGTTCGGTCATTGGAATTCTGAAGAGGGACTGTTATTAGGTTCCCAGTACTGGGTTCCTCACGGTAAAGTAGCAGAGGTGCCACATAGGTCTCAGTTAAGGTAAGAAATTAAGTTTGCAGTTACCCCATGCAAATTTGTTGTTGATTGGCCAGTAATAAATTAGGCAGTCAGTGGACAGCCAGGCCACTTTCCCTTGTATGCTTGCCTACAAGAGTTAATCTGAGACGGTCGTTCATCTATGCTAAGTGGTCAGTGGGGAGCTGAACAGGAAGCCCAAATTTGGGCTGTTGTGCCTTTCTCTGTAGCTGTTAGCCCTTTCCTTTTACTGCGGTGGCCTGAGCTCGCTACACGTGTTACAGTGCCTTGTAGAAACACTGAAACGGCACCTTACCGGGGTCCTGTTTGGGAAATGAAGCACTGTTTATTCTCTATGCAACGTCCGCTGAATGTAACAGACGATAAACACGGTGAGATTACAAGCACCCCAGCGTAAGTGTTAAGTCTTTACGGAGCAGCTCTTCTGTTAGCGGTTTCTCCAAGCGGAGCGGGGCGGGCCCGTTCCTTGCTACCTCGGTTGCCTGCCAGGCCCAGCTCGCTGCTAGCCCCGGCGGGCTGGGCCCAGCACCGC